CCCCCAAAAAGTTTTGGGAAACCTCCATATCTCTCCAGGAGAAAGAAGAGGGGGCTATTCATTTGGGCGTATCACAGCACCCAATATAGAGCGAGATTAAGTCCTTTCCTTGGGGTATAGAATCCGATGCAGAGACTGTAATCTTATTTGGTTCAACCATCCAAAAAATGCTGAGAAGAGTTGCTGATGTATTCCTCTGCACTCCCTGTAGAGTTACTCCATGAAATGACAGAGGTTGTTTTCCCATAAGCTGGGCTCGTCTCCGTTTTTTCTGCTTCGTTTTCCTGTAGGTACTTCTTGAAATCTGGCCCCCGTGTTACCCAACCAAAACAGGATCCTCGTCGCAGGGGAACCCTAAAATATGATCGGCTTTTTATAGATAAGCTTTCTTGCAGGGTTGTGGACGGTTTAGATGGGGTTAGATTAGATGCAGCTTACAAACTGATTCGCATGAGGGCTTTGTTACGGATTCTAGATAATATGGTGTTGAGGACGTATAGGAATTGCTACGTTCCAAAACTAGTGACCTTTGTTGCAGGTACTGAAATAAGGCATCAACAAAGAGCTGGGTTTGCATTTTGTGTTCCCATGTTTAAGCAGTCCGGTTTGCTTTGGTGCGCCTTGTGTCCGCATTTTGTTTAAGGAACTCTGACTATGTGTCCGCCATGTGGCCTGCTTGCATATTCCAAGAACAAGGATGACTCTCAAGCTAATGGCCTGATGGCTATTAGAGTGACTGGGCTGTCACTGTCACATCTGTTGATTCCTTGTGCATCCTGTTTGATCAGAACTCTCGATTGCGGAGTTGTCGAAGCAGCTTGATAAGGTTGTCACGAGAGATCCCTACAAATCCCGCAAAACTTTTGATGCGTCTGAGGCTTTGCAAAATGAGAGGGCGCCAAGATAGACCCATTACATCGGAAAATCCAAAATCCCATATAACTCTTGTAATTTCGTACAATTCTAATATGATTCATATATGATTTATATGATCCCTATAAAACCTCATATGTTACGAGTACCCCACAAAGGGTATGCAGGATAGCTATATAACCCCAGAGGTTAGGAGTACCCCCCCAAGGATATGTAGGACCCTACATAACCCATACTGTTGATACCACCTTGCTATACTATAGTACCATAATTCCCAAGATTTAGCGTGCTGAGTGCTGAGAGTCATGCGGGATTTTTAATATCCACCGTATTGTGGGAGTATCCCCCCAAACAATAAGGGGGAGAATCTGTGATTGGATAGGACAGCGGCTATGAGCATCACCTCGGTCACCACCCGAAGGCTTGATCCGATGTATACAAGAACAAAGGTTTACGGTTTAAGGTTTAGGGTTTAGGGTGTAGGGTTTAGGGTTTAGGGTTTAGGGTGTAGGGTTTAGGGATTAGGGTTACATGGGATGAATGGGGATGTTGCCCGAATAACTGAGAATCACATGGAAAGGAGAAAATGGAAGACTACAAGGAAACTGGGGGTATGGAAGGGTTTAATAGGGATAGTTGCCAACATTATGGCCAGAGAGTCCTGGAGTAGTTATGGTATAGGGTAGCTCAAAAGACGTCATCGTCATCAACATGACATTGGTATTTATTTAGGCCCTTATCAAAGCTTTAATCTTCGCCTTAAGTTCTACCTTAAATACTTGAACTGCATCGGCAAATCTTCGTCTCTCAAAACCAAAAGCCTTTGAACCATTAAAGTCTGAGATCCTCGAACTCTCATCCTGCAATCTCAAAGACTTCAACATCAAGGTCTTACCCCTAAACCCTACACCCCTTTCTCTTGAAGCTTTAAACCTGAAAACGCCCAAACTCCGCCATCTGAACCTGAGACCTGAAACCCCGAAAGCAGTTCACAACCTTGAAGAGTGAATCATGAGGATGTCTTTGCGTATGAGCTTCCAGGTAGTAATCTTACTGTTTCATAGTAGGGAACAAAGGAATATATAGTTCAGGGTTCAGAGTTTGGTTTAGGGTTTAGTAGGGAATAAGGGAATATAACCTGCTATAGTGGAGAATCAAATGGAAAACAACATGAACAATTAAATGGAAATGGGGTTTATGGAGGGTAATTTACTTATTTCGGGTAAGTAGGGAATAAGGGAACATGTTTGGGTGTATATCGGGATAATGCACAATAAAACGGAAACTGCTACATTAGAATAGAGAATGTATTAGCCATACGTTCCACCACATGGTACTCAGGCAATCTTTCCATCGCTAAGGCCTAAACCGCAAATCCTTTGTGACTCAAGCCCAGAGTCTGACATTGAAAGCCCTAAACCCTAAACCCCGAATCCCTTGCAACCTAAACCCTAAAGAAGATCCAACAGGCCTGCGTAGTCGCCATAGCGACACCACCCACAGCGCGTGGAGTGGAGGGCCCACCTCGGCGGACCTCCAACAAAGACATTGGGAAGGCCTTGGGGACTGGGATCCCATGCGATGCGGAATTTGTCAGGGGCATTGGGACCCAAAGAAATCCATATCTTGCAAAAGTGGCCTAACCCAGAATCCTTGAAATTCAAACAGGTACCCCTAATTCTGGAAAGTCTTAACTTCTAAGCCCTAAGTAGTAGTGTCCATATTCTTTTCCATTATCCCCATATGTTCCCATCACCCCCAATTTTTGGTTAAGTATGGGTTTGCTATGGGGATTCTGTGGGAAGGTCAGCGAGATGAAGCTCCGGGTCACAAAGGCTGCCGAGAAGGGCAACTACAGATCTAGTACGTTGGGATTGGGCTTTAGGTCTATGGTTATGGTGTGAACAGGCTCCACGGATTATGTATGTCTTAGTATATAGAAATATATACACACATATTTGTATCACTTTCTGGCCCAAACACGAATCAGGAAGGGCTCTAGTTTCAGGGCATAGGGTTTGATTTAGCATTCGGGGGTTGTAAGGACCCTCGGCGTTGGGGAATTGGTTGTTTAGCCATGAACTGACAGGCGTTTCTTTTGAATTTCTTGCTTACGGAAGTTAAGGCCACGGACAAGAACAAGTTTTCGCGCCAAAGCAGCGCGCCACCTTCTGGCGCAGACGCCGCCAGCATGAAGAGGCTCTGGGAGAGTGTTGAGCAAAGGGCATTTTTGCACAACAGAGTAGGATCATCAATCAAGGCAACCGCAAACTTGGACAATAATTTTGAGGATCCCCCGAATATTCACAGGGGCTATGTTGACTTCGCACATCTTGTGCCGAGATGGCAAATTTAGGTTGAATGGGCTACTGTATGACCAGCAATTGAGAGACTCTCTGATCTTCTGATGATGATGATGATGATGATAGTGGTTGTGTTCGTGGTCGTTGTTATCATCATTGTTGGCGGCGGGATGGAGCTCTCATTTCCGTCCTCACAAGCATATCAGGCGTCAGTAGTTGTCGTTGAGTGGGCGGGGCGAAGGGGGCCTACGCGGGGGCAAGAGCGGACGTAGGGGCAGTCGCACGGGCAGGGGAGAGGTTGTGGTGATGGTGGTGGTGGTGGTGGTGGTGGTGGTGGTGGTGGTGGTAGTGGTGGTGGTGGTGGTGGTGGTGGTGGTGGGAAGAGCATACCAACAGCCATAGCGCAACCACCGTCAATTTGATGTGAGCAAAGCCAACTCTAAACCTTTTGTTGGTGGAGGAAAGTCTGCACAACCCTATGTACCGTACCCGATGCCCTAGGAGTTACAGCTGCAAGGTTTCCTGCATCCATCGTACTCCGTTAAGCCCAGACCTTAAACCTTATGACCCTAAACCACGATGATTCTTTGAGCTTCCCTAAAAGGTGGGCAAACCTACGGCCCCCGAGCACTGCTGTGCCAACTGTGCAGGAGAGCAAGGATCTTGAGGCAGCTTAAACATGCGAGTTGGTCTAGCCGTTCTACTCAAGCAGGGGCCAGTGGATATATGGAGCCTTAAAGGGGGATCCCAACTAAAACGAGGACCCATGTTATAACCTATTTTGGGGCGGTTATTTGGAGCAACTGCCACATACACAATTCAGGGTCTAGGGTTTGGGCTTCAGGGTTAGGGATTTCGTAGTTTGAGGCTGCGACCCATGAGGTAAAGACGGGGTATAGAGTTTGTTTGTTTGTTTTTTTTTTGTTTGTTTGATGACTGCGTGGGATGCTTGCTCAAGATTCTTGCAGTTTCCCTAGTAGTCGTTAAATGGACGAAGGTTTCAAGGTCGGGGTTGCAGAGCTTAAGGCTCTTGGATTTCTGGGGTTAACGTCTCAATTTTTTCGGGTTGACTGAACCCTACACCCTGCAACTTACTGGCCTATTTAGGCCAAGGTGGAAGACCGCCTGTAGACAGTCAAAGGGCCCTGCATCAATCCCGAGATACCCCATTATAGTAGTTTCCATTTTCTTTTCCGTTATCCTTATATAATCCCACTATATGGTTCCCGTATATACCCTATTATGTCTATAAACCCCAATACATACCCCTATAATCCTTGTATGACCACAATATGTGCCCCCCATAATCCCTATGTAACCCCAATATAACCCCCAAGACCTATTGAGGCGGAATGGCCCGAAGATGGATTCGTGTCGCCTCCCTGGGAGCGAGCAAGCACCTCTTCTCCCGTCATTGCGCGGCTCAACCATTTGGGGTTTAGGGTTTCGGTTTAGGGCTTAGGGGTTTAGGGTTAGGGCATAGGGGTTTAGGGTTCAGGGTTTAGGGTTTAGGCCTTTTTTTCGGGGGGTTAATGGTGTTTGTGGGGCTTGAGCAGGCACGCAGAGGCGCAGAGTGGGTGATGTGTTGAAGTCTGAAAACCCCAGAATGTCAGGGAGATGATACGTACCTCAGTTTGAGGTTAGTGTTGTCAGCACAGTGTAACATACCCCGAGATGCCAGGCTGATCGTTCACGTCCCTTCCTTAAGGGTCTCCTGTTTGTGGGTAGCATGCTAAGTAGACAGAAGATAGGGGCTTGGTAGAGTCAGAAAATCACGGCCATAATTCTACCAATGGGCATCGCTGTTTTTAGTCCCTGAGCCAGGCAGACTGGAATCGGTTTCTTCACGCACATTGCAGTTTCGCTGCTTTGCCTGGTTCCCTTTCTGAACGTCCGCTCTACCACGCATCGCTGCCTTTTCCTGCCTTCGATGTATGCTGCATATGTGGCCAGGTTAGCATCAGGCAGAGTTTGAGATTGGAAGGAACGCTCCAATGCCAAAGAACTGTAGGCGTTTCAAAGTACCGCCGATTTTCAATGGCAGCTCCAGAAACGATTTAGGTGACAGGCATGTGCCTGAAGATCACGCTCTTCCCGCCCGTTGCAGCTGAGCGCCCACGTTGCAGGATCGCAAAGGTGCTGCGTATGGAGAGGCTTGTGAGGGAAGGATCTGTACCAGTGTTTAGATCAGCGTTGGGCAATTTTTTTGGTTCTCATTGGCTTGAAACCTAACAAGACAGAAGCTCAAATCCCGCTCTCAAGGAAACCTCAGCCCACCTAAACACTCAACTCTAGCACCAATTCATAGACCCTAAGCTCCAAGCCCTGAACGTCAAGAATCCGATCCAGGTTTGGTTTCCCAAATTAGCGGCCGCAGTGTATGTGCTGATGGTCCTTCAACTGGACTTGGGCCATTCCTTCCAGTCAATCGCAAGATCGCAAAGGAGCCTAAGTGGAGTATGGGTATTGTTTGGAAAGCTGCTTCTACTGTACTGTAGTGGGCCTAATCGCAAGCTTCTCGCTTCCGTTCATGTCCTAGTCTTTTGCCATGTACCTGAACCTGAACTCTTAACACAAAGTCTAGGTAGTTCCCAAAATAAAGGTCCCCCAGACCCCAGTATACTATAGCCCCTACTGGGGGGACCCCCAAGACGGTACCCATAATTTTAGGAACTCCCCTTTAAATGTGGGTTTTCAGACAGCACAGCAAACCAAGAAGGAGCTACCTCAGCGCGACTCCTCAGCGACATGACTACAACTGTCGCTTGACAACAGTTAAATCTGGCAAACGTAGGCTTTTCTCAACACAGTCCCTGAAGAATCCCTAAGATCATAATCAGGGGATGTAGGGATGACTCTAGGTGGTGTTATAGGGCTTATGGTATACAGTATGGATCCACTCCCCCAAAACAACCACAAGTACCAGCCTTTGAGCCCTAAAACCTAAGCTCATTGAAGCCCTCAACTCTGGCGCAGTGAAGGCTGGGGTACTGACCAGCAGGATGTTGCTGATTGCGTACTGGTGCGGCATGGGGGCTGTACCATGTTCGTATCTTTCTACACCTGCCTGGTGTTCCTGGGACATTGTTGGATCTACTCTTCTTTGAGTGGATAGGACCCAAGGAAATTCAGGAGGATGTTATGTGGATGCCAGCTGCTACACGTTGACCATGCTTCCAGTTGGAGTTTAGACAAGACCTTAAGAGAATGCCAGCCGATGGTTTCTTGGGAGAATTGTGCTTTGCAATGTGCTAAAAACTAGACGCCTTTATCTCCCTCTGGCCAGAATCCTGACATGCCATCAACGGTCGTACCGGTTGAAGTGGCTAAGTTCGTTTGGGTGATGTTTTGGGGCTTTAATTTCTATGCCCGGAAACCTTGATCATTCCCAATTAGCTTTCATTCCGTAGAGGAACGTAATCATCTCCCAGTCTATACAGTCCTTACAGGACGGGGCCCGTTATATTGTCAACAACTAGCCTTACCTCTTTTAATGAAGACCTAGGTTCATGGCGGTGTGCAACCGGAGCGTGAAGGGATCCGACATCGTGGAGAAGCATCAGAAGTGCCTGCAGGACTGGCTGTTGGTTTTTTTAGGGGTTCGGGTTCGGAGCATGACCATTGCACTGATGACCAGTATAGCTGCTACCACTATGGATGCCGCTGCTGTCACCCTCACTACTCCTCCCTCTTCCACGACTGCTTGTATAGCTGCTGCTGCTGCTGCTACTGCTGCTGCTGTCATGACGACGGCTAATTATGTCGGTGATGATGATGCTGATGCTCAAAGAGACCACTACAATCATGACCCCAACCATGACAACGACTGCTACCGCAGAAGCAATTCCTGCCACCCGTACTGCTGCTTCTGCTGTTGCACTTGCTCTTTTCAATCTTTGAGTGTGCAGCCTGAAGGAAATTTTTCCGCTGGAGGCACCTTCATTGCTGGCCTATGTGGAGAGCTTCGGTCTGCAAAATAGTCTGGCTTTTTCTCAATGTCCCAGGTCACTGCTGGAAGCTGGTACTCGTACTGCAGATGCTCTCAAACTCCTGTCCACTCAAATGGGAGTTTCCGGAAATTGGGGGTCCGCATATGTTATCTGCGGCCTCTCTCTCTCTCTCTCTATGCTACCCCCCTGGTCAACCTAAATTGGCGCCCCCCCCCTGTTTATGGAAACTATCAAAACTCGAGTCGAAAGCTTCAAGTCATTTCGGTGCCCAGGCGGAGTGTCAACTCAAATTCCACGTTCTGGAGGTCGCATCGGCGGTACAAGGCCTCCAGCCTTCAAAACGGCTTTAGGCCTTTAGATGTTTTTAGATGGTGTGAGTTAGGTTAGGCTTTAGGGTTTGGGCTTCAGAGTGTAGAGTTTTCGTAGCTTTAGTCCTCAAGTGAGACCTTTTGTGCTACATGAGTGCCTGTAAGGTGCGGTTCATGAAAATGTCACGTAGGTTCCAAGGTTCTAGCCTTCCTTGACAAAAGGAGATTTCTTCCTAGCTGGAACCGAACACTGCAACCCAGAACCTCAAAGGCCTCAAAGCCCAAACCTGATATCCCTCGGGCATCTGCATCAGAGTGCTCATTCTTTTATATAAATGATCCTCTGACAGGAGTCTCCAACAACAGGGGCCCCAGACTCTATACTCCTTATTCCAGGCAAGGCCTCACAGGACCTCTAGTATTAGAGCCATGGACAGCCAGGCGCAATCGGTTGTTCTCTCGCTGTCCTGGACGCTGACGTCCTTCGGGGTGTACACCGAACTCATGCAGGCTTTCGGGCTCTTGTATGGCCTTTCCATTGCAATCGTGGAGGTATCTGTTCCACTACAGTGATGGCAGCAAGGGTTGTAGTGCTACCTGCAATTTTTGATCGAACAATGTACGCTGACCATGATCTCGCTTTACATCACTGGGTTTACACTTGGACACCTATGAGGGATGTTGACCACGTTTATCATGATCCTTTGGTTGTCGTTCTGCCGTGTGTTTCACTGGCTGAGGGCTCGGCTATCATCTTATGTCTCATGTTGTGCTAATGAAGACCAGGGGGCACATGCATGGTTTGAAGACATGTCTGGAGCAGGGCGCAGTACTAGCATCGAGATTTCTCCGAACCTGAACTTAAAGCATCTACCCGAGACAGGCAGAACCTTAACACCTCTACCCCAACAAACTTTCAATCATGGTGTGCCCCAAGCCCTGAGCCCTTGACCATGTTTCCCTTTTGGGAAGCTTCGAGATGGGCTCAAGTACTGATGGGGGCCTGCCTGGACAGGGCGCAAAGACGAGAACTGCACAGGCACATGGGCCGATTGTAGGGAAGGACCTAAGCAGCAAATAACTTGGGATAATTTGCGTAGATTGAACAAGATTATATTGTATTTTTTTGTGGGGCTGGAGATTTGTGGCTCAATGGTCCGTTTGCGGATTGGTGTGAAGTTTGGTATTCAGGGCTCAGGAGGTCTCGAGCACCTTCGGACTGGATGGCTTGAACTCTGGATTCTTTTAAGGGTTCTTGGAAATATTTTCTACTCTTTGCTTCGTTATGACTTTAAGAAGCAGCCAGAACATATGTCTTCTACTACGGTTCCCAGTTCAGCATGGAGATAAGGCGTGGCCTCACAGTATAACAATTCGGAGTTTTTGCAGGGTCTACAGTTCTGACCACGGCTTCGGGTTTAGAGGTTAGGGTTTAAGGTCTAGGGTTTGGCTTCGCCTAGGACCATTTTGTAAGCCTTCCACTCCAGTCCCCTTCTTCACAACGCTGTCAGTGGCAGGAGCATGGAACTTGGATGGGAGAGGGTACAAGCCGTGTAGAAGTGAATTCTCATAGTGTTACGTAACAAGAGCAATGTCGGTGAGCGGGGTCTACTCTTAGCAAACAGAATCGCACAATTAAGGAGAGAGGCGACGTCATATGCAGCCCAGAGGCTAGGAACATCTGAGCAATCTTTTAAACAGGAAAACAGGGAAAAAGGCACCCTGAGCAAGAGTGTCAATGTTGCAGATCCGTGTCTTCCGGGTTTCCATCAAAATGCTTGCGAAGCTCTGTCAGATGTAGGAATTCCCTGGCAAAAGCTGCCGAGCTCAGTCAAGAAACTCAAGCGTTCCAGGCTTGTAGCCCTAAGGCCAGACATTGAAAAATCTGCGACAGAAGTTCAATATAGCCCTTTATATATGAACCATGTTGTCCCTTTAACCCAGGTTTACGGTGCAACTCTTATATCCTCAGGTGGTTTTCATCACCGCGCTCGTTGGCACCTATGCCCTGCAATATACACTGCTGAGGCCTAGGGTTCTTACAGTAGCAGACAGATGGGCAGATTACGACATTTCTCTTCATGGCCGTTATTTTTACCTACAAAGAAGCTCCCTAATGATCCTTACACATCCCCAGCGTCCCAGAGCCCATCCCCCCATTTGAGAAAATCCCACTGGATAAGGGTACTGAGGCCTCATTCCCCCCATACACTTGCTTTGCATTCCCTTCATGGTCCCTCTTAGGGGTCGATGGAACCATCGTGCAGAGTCTCTTAACCTGGATGTTGTGTGTGGACCCAGCAGCAGCTGTTATCTGCGATGAAACTCCTGTGCTTTCATGGTTGTTCTTCCAGGATAGGCTTTGTCTCCGATAGCTTCATCTGTTGTTTACATCTCCTCTTACTTGTATGGGAGATGTCCCGTCCACAACCTTGAATCTCTGAAATCGGGGAACATGCAGAGTTTTCCTGCTGGGCTACGCATGGGGTTTCTTCTTAAAGGTGGTTGTGAACCCAGCCTGGGACACACAGAGCCGTAGAGCTGTGGTTGTCTTCAAGTGGGTGTTGAACTGTAAAGGCGGCAGATTACTTGAAGGTTTAAGTAAACAATTTTGCGAGACCAGCTAAAGCCATCTGTGGAGCTCTGCAAGACTCTCAAAGAAGTGAGCTAGGTTCTGATTTGCGTCTAGGTGCAGGTACGGTCTTACATTTGGATCTCCAACTTCGAGGGCCGAAGCAGGCAGTTGTTCAGGAAGGCCCTTACTGAAGGGGCTTCGGGAGCTACCTGTGTACCACTCCCTGTATACACCCCAAAATGTTGTAAGGAGAGAGCACTCTACAACCAGACCTCCGCCCTCATAGCCTTGAGCCGCGCACTCCAAAGCCCCTCAACTTCCAAAGCAGGCATGTGCTCCTGCGGGTGATCCTTCTTCTGGAGGGAGTGAAGGCTGGCAGTGCTGTCTTAAGGGAATCGGGCGTCTCCACTGTATGAGTTCCTGTTTCACAGTGCCCGTAATATCAAGCATGTTATGTTGGGAAACGATGAGACACCGAAACCTCAATTGGAGAAATCCCTAATTGGCAATGTTCCACCGTGGGGTCCTGGTATGGCTTGTGGAAGTAGCTTTTAGATTCTTCGGGGTTGGGGATATTGAGGGTCCGCTTTAAGGGTCGTCGCGAACCTTGCCCTGGTTTTCAGACTCATAGAAGCAGGGTCTGAGCAGGCAAGACACTAAGGCAACTTCTTGTGGACTATTTTGCGCAAATTTCCAATTTTTGGTGTTGGAAAGCTTTGGGGGAACCCCTCGAGGAGCTTGTCGATGAGTAGGGTTTGGAGTGTTTTGGGTATTGAGGGTTTTGATTGTGGGATTTTTCATGACCGTACCGTGGCATAATACTTGGCTCTTGTGATCACCTAAACCCTAAACCCTGAACCCTAAACCGCTATGGATTCCCGAGCACATCCCACATTGGAGGCCTCTTTCAACCTCCGCTTGCTCATCCTACCTGTGGTTCGTAAGGAATGAAGGAAGGCAACAAAGGCAGCGTTCTGACAGCCTTGACATTACAAGGGGTACTTGCAAGCAGAGCAGTTTATTAAGCACGCCAGACTTGAAATCTAGGGCGACCTCCATAAATCAGTTGCAATGCTTGTAGTATTTTATCCCCTGGGCCTAGACCTTCAAGCCAACCCCCACAACACACATCATATATGATCCTCATTTGATCCCTGCAAGTCTATATGGGTGTTTCGGCGTTTGCAAACAACATAGACCCCAATATACCAGGCACCAAGGCTCGAGCGCAGCCAGTCCCTCGCCTAGAGAGGGAGCCCCTGGTAGTTAGCTTGTTTGATGCCAAACACTTTTATCGTTTTCATTTGCGCGTATGCCCTTAGTCGTCTTTGTCTATACTTGACATTTACTTACGTTAGGATTTACTTACGCTATGGCCGGCGCCGATGACACAGCGGCTGCCGAAAGCATGGACGCGCCGCCTGTGCCGACTGGACCAGAAGTTCCCCCGATACAGCAAGATCCGGGCCTCGCTGGCACCCAGCTCCTAACAGAAATCCCCATAGGTCCCGACCTACGCTTACAGGCTCTCACCAGTGGTAAGTGCCATTTTGTCAATGAGTTCACCATTTCAGAGAGAGATAGAGCAACTTACGATAGTCTTCTCTCTTCCCACCAAACTAAGGCCCGTACTACTGATCTCTCCTTGGCTTCAGGTGTTACTGGTCTCGCTTCAAAGTAAGGTGAAATCGGAAGAAGATGCTATTGAGTGGGGTGATATTGACCCCCTGTTAGCTCAACGACTTAGATCTGACCCTGAGGCCCTCCGAGCATTTAAGAATGTACGACATCCTCCTATAGCAAGCCCGCCTCGACCCGGCGGCTGGAAAATTTGCCCCAGTCCCCGAACCCCCTAGAGCTACAATGCCCTCTTCTTCCTCTACTTTGGATGCAGTCTCCGCGGAGAATTTGCAGTCAACATTTCAGTCATACCATGCTAATCAAGTTGCTCCTGCCCCTCAACACTTGCAGGCATTGGTCCAGCAGGATCTCCCTTCAAACCCAGTTTGTTGTTTCCAAGGTTACCCTACAGACCATAGAGTCTGATCTACACAAGAGAACTGTTATCATATATGGAGTCCCTCCCTTCTCCAATAAGAGATCCATTGATGACAATCTTAGCTACTTACTTTATGATGCTGAACTTACCCTAGATGATGTGCAATCAGTCTCCAATCACCTATTGACGACCTCATCTGGGGTCATGAAGGTAGTCATGCTCAGAGAAACTCACGCTAAGACCTTTTTTACTTCCTTTAGACAAAAAAAGAGGTATTTCCGCACTAAGGTCCCCAACAACCCCATTCCGGATGCTCCTATTAAAATAGAAAGAGACATGTCTGTCCTTGAAAGATTGGAGCGGCAACCCCTTATGTCTCTGATTGACTCCTACACCAAGGGTACCACCGATTCCCAACCTACACCCCTCTTCGAAGAATACTTGAAACCGGATTTTAATTCTCTCCAGTTGTGGAATGGTGAAAGCTCAGAATTGATAGCCCAGGTCCTCTACATTCCACAAAAACAAACAACCGTGTGTCATCTAGCTATTCAGCCTCAACACCGTGATATTATTACTCATCTTTTCCCAAAATATTTTCAAGAGAGAATGCTCCAGACCCTTAGATACCTCCAGGCCTACATCAATGCTGCTAGGCATAGCACGACCACGGCTAGGTTTCATTACTCCAGTACTCAGGATTTGTCGAATGTTTCTTCCCAGGAAGCGGTCTCCTTTTTCCCATAAGAAATCTGCCCCATGGACTTAGGACCCGATCTCCTGGAAACCTTACACAACCCTACCAGTCTCCTTAGGACTTACTCAGGCCTCCAACATGTTGTTCAGCAATCAATGGAAGATTATGGCATTGACCCAGAGAATTATGGAAAAGGCAAAGGCAAGCCTAGAGACTCCTCCCCTGACCGCAGAGCTACTGGTAGGGGCAGAGGTAAGAACCGTGATAGTCAAAAAGGCTGGAATAATTGGGGTAGAGAAGCAGAGGCTCCAAAATCTAGAGGTAGAGGCTCCAACAAATCTCAAGGAAGAGGATACTCCAATTGGATGTCTGATATTCCGTGGAGCAGCTCCCCATCTAAGGACAACTCCTGGCCGGCAAAGGGAGATCGCACCCGTCCGGCTACCAACCGACGCCTGGATGATACAGACTCCATCATTACCCCTTGCTCCACCTGTATGTGCCTACTTGGCAACAATTCTGACTGTAGTACCTGTTACAATAGCGGCAAGCTCCAGCAGTTACAATCCCAAGCTTTGTTTAAGAACCTCTTTCAATTTCAACAGCGATCAATCCCACACTTTGGCTGCCCTCTTCCTTATGATGATTCCAACTCCTGTAGTGCTGCAGACACTATCTTTGGTCAAGGCAACTGCCCAGGCTGTGAAGCCTACAAAAAATGGGCTCTTAGATATTATGGAGTTACACAAGCTGGTCACAACCCCATACCCAATGTTCTCATGTTAGCTTATGAGAGGGCTATGCTTGATACTTTTGATGATGATCCAGATGTTTTCCTCAAAGACTTCCAAACTTACTCCAACCAGCTAGGTAAGCACCCACCTTATCCATCTGACATGATTGATTGGTTCAATGCAATTCTCTACCCCCCTAGTCAGGATCCCCTTTACAAACTCCCATGGCCAATTGACTACACAGTTTTCAAAATGCCTAATCTCTCTTATTTCCTTACCCCCAGCCCTACTTTTCAGAACCTCAGCTACCCCATCAGTACCTGCAATGTCCAAGACTCTAGCATGCTCCTCACAATGTTCGCAGTGGCATATCAGTACCTCCCTGATTGTTTGATTGAGGATTATGATGGATTGCTCCCTATTGAGACTATCTCTGAGCTCAACCTTAAGTCCTCTGATCTGCTTACCATCGACCTCATTCCATGGGCAAACATTGTCAGACAAAGTTTTGCATTTGCATTTCAGTCAACAGGTACCCCAACTATGTGGAGCACTTACTCTATCAAAGAACTTGCGTACAAGGTCCTATACCAAGAAGATCAGTGTTTGGTAGACCAATTCTGCGCGCTCTTCCTTGAAGCCATTGATGGCAGTGCAACTTTTTCAGATGTGTTTAAGGGCCAGGCTCCTTTCACAAATGATCCACTCAAGAAGTTAGCAGCTGCAGGATCATGTTACTTTGATTCAGTATATCACCAGATGACAGCCCTTCACAAGATTCAAACAAAGAAGACCCAACAGCTCCAAGCTCCAAATGATCAGCTAGTTCAATTGTATGACATGATAGTTGACAGTGCCCATCACTCCACAGATATTGCCCAGGAGAAAGCCTCGCTTCTCAGTAGACACCTTAATAACAACGGAAATAGTATGGAAGCCTTCGCACCCCTCATGTGTGAATCAGGACACCACGATCTCATCGTAGTTATGCCCTGGCTCATTATGCAATTGCAATTTAGGGACCAAGCATACCCTTGGCGAGCAGAGTTTTTAGCACCCTGACTACTAAGGCTCCTTTCGCTGAAAGCTGCAGGCACTGCCTCCTGCCCCACTTACGCTACGACACACTTACGTTACGTGACTCTCTATCAATACGTCCTTCTCTATTCAGCTAGACCCTTCGGGGATGCTCCTTTGCTGCAAAAGCAGCCCAACACTTACGTTAAGCAAAACTTACGTTATGATGAGAGCCAGCCTTTTCCCCCAGTGCGCAACAAGTGCACGCTGAGCGGGCCGGATAGGTTTTATTCCCCTGAAGTTTTAGGGTTTGACAAGGGCTCAGCGCGTAGGCAAGTTAGTTGCCTGTTTTTCACTCTGGGAAAAGGTGCGGAGTTTTGCCAACAACAACCATTAGGCCGTCCACAGCACCTAATCCCTGTTCTGCAAGCACAAGTCTCACGCCCACAGCGCCGACTAAAAGTGTGAAAGCTTTCACCTCTAGAATTACGAGAAATAAGATAATGCGCGCGCTAAACGGCAATATTGTATGGTTTGATAGACGTACGTCTCCGCCTCGTAATTATTTGTGGAGGCAATCCTTTTATATTCCCAACGGCATGTGTATATTTCGATATTCCTTTTAGGGCAAGGATTCCTTATGGCTATATGCACACCGGAGGGGCTCTAGTTTTGAGTTGGAGACCACTAGAAGAGAATCTCCTACACTTTATGGGATTGTCTGCAGAGCGGTGGCCTCCAGAGGAGGCGGGCCGGGAGACCGCTGGCAATTAGTCCAACGCCACAAGCGGATGTGGCGAGAAGGGGTGTCAAACCCCACCACTTACGTTATGAACCACTTACGTTATGAGGACAAGCCACGCGGCTACCAACACCGTCAAGCTCACGGGGGTACGCATAGAGGTATGCGTTCCTTTGATTCTA